CTTAAATTTTGTCACTTTTTTGCAAAAAAAAATTACAAAAACACATTTCCAAGTCTAATTTTGCAATTTTGTATTTTGTTATGCCAAAATCTCCACAATTTTAAACGATTTCTTGATAAAATTTTCAAAAGTTAGTTTCTTGGTAAAAAGTGTTCTAAATTTTTCAAATCAAGCATAAATTAGGCCTTTTAACACTTTTGACCGATTTTTTGCTGACAAACACTCTAAATCTTATAAAAAAAATAACAAATTTTTAACTTAGTTCTACAATTTATATTAACATTTTTTAAATTTTTTCAATCTTATTTTGCAATATTCTACTTTGTTTAACAAAATTTCTCAAATTTTTTACAAAATTACACATTTTGTGATTGCAATAAGGCATCAAAGATACAATGTAATAAAACTTTAAACTTTACTGCAAAAGTAAAAATACTCTAGGAATTTTAAAATTTTAAATGCATTTTTTTCAGAAACTATAAAACTTAGAGGAAAAAGCAAAAAAGTCAGAATATTTCAAGCGTTTTTGCAATAATCGATCATTTTTGATTTACTGAAACTCACACTCAAAACTCAAAAAATTTTTGTTTTTATTTTGGTTTTATTTCTCACATAATCACCAGTTTTTTGCAAAAATAATACAATTCTTGACCAATTTTGTATTTTTTTTTATTTATTTTTAACATTTTGTCAAAAAAGTGCTATTTAAACCTATTTTCGATGAAATTTTTCGAAAAATTTGACGTTTGTGGTTGAATTTTCACTTAATTTTGTGATATTTCGCAAAATTTTGCAAAATAATTGAATTTCTCTATAATTGAACGTTTTTTTTTTCTGTATTTTTACTTGAGAAACGTTAATTTACTGATTTTTAAACATATTTTTTTTAAATTTCCGAAATAGTTCTCAAAATATATCAATATTTACACCAATTTGATATTTTTTTGTGTTATTTTTGACAAAGTTGTTAAATAATTGCATTTCTATTTTAAAACGTGTTAAAATATCCGAAAAAAGCAAAAAGTCTCTCATTTTTGACTTAATTTTATAATTTTTTATTTCTTATAAAACATTCTCAAAAAATTGGCGTTTTTGACTGAAAAACGTTTGAAAATTACACAAAAAGGTGATTTTTCTAGCTCGTTTTTTGGCAAAACAATGTTTAACCAAATTTCTAGTTCATAAACATTCAATTTTTTTGCCTTTTTCCAGTGCAAAAACAATATTTTCAAACTCATGAGTGTAAAAAAATCAAAATTGGTCAATTTTCGTTTCCATTTCAGTTGCAAGACGACACGAAAGACATCGAAGAGCTGATAAACAAGACAATAAATGAAGAGCCTGAGGAAAACATTCGACTACCAACAAACTTAAAACCGCTTCATTACCGACTGAGAATTTTCCCGATTTTGGACGAGTTTTCCCCCGAGAATTTCACTTACACCGGAGAAGTGAAAATAATCATTCGTTGTCTAACAAAAACCAACAAAATAGTTCTCAATTTGGAGGATTTAGAAGTGACAGAACACAACGTTACAGTTTCAACACTAAAAACCACAATTTTACGTTACGAAAGTTTGGATAAAGAAAGTGATAAAGACCAGCCTGAAATCTACATGAAAAACTCGACTCATAACAGTTCGGTGATAATCGTCGAAAGCGAGAATAATTCCACAGATGAAATCCTCATTGGAGCTGAAGCAAAATCGCTCATAATCCAAGAAGTTTACAAAGAAGACAATTCCAAACTTTACATCACTATGAAAAATTTGCTGGAAAGTGGGCATAATTACACGATTAATGTCAAATTTTCCGGGAATATTACTAATAATCTAGCGGGGTTTTACCGGACGAGTTATAAAGACTTGTTGGGGGAGAAAAAGTGGTTAGCGACGACTTATTTTCAGCCGATTTTTGCACGAAGGGTTTTCCCCTGTTTCGATGAACCGAATTTTAAATCGTCGTTTGAAATTAGTGTTGCGAGGAGGACTAATATGACAGTGAGGTCGAATATGCCTCTGAGGGAAACCGAGCCCATGTAAGTGACTTTTTTGTAAAAAAATTTTTTTCTGAAACTTTGGATTTTATTGAAAAAGTAAAAATAACTAATAATAAAAATCTGAAGTCAATCGGGGTTCGAGTTTATACACCTAGAAAAAAAATTCTTGCTTAAAACGCTAAAATAGAGCATTTCCAGATAGTATTTTACAATTTTTTGCATTGTTTTGGCAAGATATCTAAAATTTTGTGAGTTTCGTATTAGAGAAAAAAAGCTCTAAATACATCAAAATAAGACAAAAAAAGTGCATTTCAGAAATAATTTATCATTTTTCTGGCTTGAATTTAGTGAGTTTTTATTAAAAAAGCATTTTTGATTTAGTTTTCACAATTTTCTGGCAAATTCTCCAAAATGTTTTGAGTTTCTCTGTAAAAAAACTCTTCTCATTCATAAAAACCGCATTTTGCAATTAAAATTCGAAAAAATTTATGGAATTTATATTTATAGGTCTAATTTTGAAATTACTGCCTTATTTTGGCAGTGTTTTAGATTTAATTAGTTTTTAAACAAAAAGTGCTCTAAACTTTTCAAAACAAGAAAAATTTTGGTCATATTCGATATAATTTTTGCAATTTTCTATTTTGTTTTGGCAAAGTCGCTACAATT